AATTCCCCACTTGTGGATCCACCCCCCTCCACAGACCCACCAGTCTCTCCTCCATCCTGCCAACTTCCCCCAATTCCCCATCCTGCCCTCTCCTTTCCCAAACCTCGAGTTGCTTACACCAGTTTCCTCACATGGCTCCTGGAAGTGGCAAATGCCAGTATGTGCCACTCCTTGGAGCAGTACCTGCTCCTAGTCTAGATTTAGGCAGCTTAAAGTAAGCTGTCTATGCATAGACAGAGTGCAGTGAGTGCTTGTTTGCACCTTTAGTTATTGTTTAGTAGTATGCACCTGTTTAAAGCAGGGAAAGAAACCAAAAATCCTATATAAAGAAATCATAAAGCTGAAGTTAAAAGTAAATTAGAATATAATACTTGAACTACAAAATCAGAGTCATTGTGATTTAATGTTGAGCTCTTTACTTTAAATCTCTGCAATATAAGCGTTAGTATTTCAGTTCAGGCAATAAAACTTAAAATCAATCACACTTTAGAGACCTCAGTGCTGGGATGAATGAGTAAGAGGGTCAGTGATGACTTTATTCCCCTTTTTGTTCTAAACTGGGATGTTGGGTCTTGATCCTCTTTTCACTAAGGCTAATGGGCATTAATGAGTGTGGGGTCAAGCTGCAAATGTTATCTTAACATACCATATTATAGTGTAATGTATTCTATCATGGAACAATCATGTGGGGGTGGGGAATGGGGTTTTTCAAAAATATTTTTAAGTGAAAATATGATGTGTAAATCTGTGAGGATTCTTAACCAGAAATCAGGCCTTTTATCAATAACATCTTTAAGAACTTGTATAGTTTTCTTCCTTTTTTTAGTGCTTTTTGTAGCAAACATTTTAACAGCTCTATTTGCTGCATTCTTCTTCTCCCTGTTAAGAAGTACAAGTAGCAAAAATTGTATTTGCATTTATATATTACAGTTTCATTCACCTGTATAGCATGAGCACATGTTAATGATTAGTCTTGTTGGAGCCAGATAGATGCTTGCCCAGTAGGGTCAGCCACTGACATTCTTGAGTCAAGCAACATCATTTTATCTTCCTCTGTGTTTCTAATTTCTACTGAACTACTGTTTGTTCATCCTGCCAATAGCCAAACCTGCCTTGCCTATACACGCTGAGCTCACTGAGGCTTCTTTGCTCTTGTCTCAAACTTCTATTTAACAGTCTAGCTTTTTTTCCTACCTGCCATGTAGCTTTTCATGCCTCTCCTAATCTAGCCTTGACTGGTCTCATTCCATGTGCCTTTCCAGCTCACCTTCTGTTTTCTCAGTGCCTCCAGTCTCATGCCCTCTTCCTAGTGCTTCACTCCTTCCATACTGCCAAGCTTGCTCATGTTGCCCTTCTACGCCACACCTATTTTATCCATCTTGTAGCTAACTCCAGGCAGCTCCTGTACTGCTACATAATTTTTCTCTGCCTAGATCATGCTTCTTTTGACCAATAATTCTGGTTGGTTGCCTTTTCTCCCATATTACCCCCCCACCCCAAATATTTCCATTCACTTTCTCACCATCTCCACCAGTTCCATTCCCTTGATCAAAAGCCAGTGTTACTCCTGTTTCCCACTTCTTGTCCTGTGCTCATAATCCACAATTAGCCTTCTCTTCTTCCACCACTGTTAAGGCTGCCTTCCAGTTTGTATGAATTGTTCTTTTTATTGTTGTGGGCAGTAATAAACTTATACAGACCATTGCACCCATCCTGGAGATAATATTTGTTCTTAAAGGTTAACAGGAGGACTGATTTTGCCCTACAAACTAGTAGATTCAAGTTCTTTTTATATGATTTTGGTATCTTTATAGCTTTAAGTTTTATATCAGCTTGCTAAGTATGAAGAAGGTAGTTGCTATATCAATCACTTTACAAGAAGAAGGTAGTTATCATTCTATCACTTTACAAGTGCTATTTGTTGTGGAGAGATCTGTACAGCTATAATCATGATTTATTACTATGCTATATAAGTACTCACTTCTGCTTAGGTAGTTAAGGGTCTCTCAGTATTCCCATAATAAATTGCTTAATATTTGGCTATAAACATTTGTTCAAGCTACATATATTGTCATATAGAATCTCAAACTAGGTTATGTGATTTATGGCACAAATTTTTAAATAATGTTATTTGTCTGTTTTTATTCCTGAGGCCAAGAGAGCCTTGTCAGTCTGAGATCCATTTATTTCACATGATAGTAAAATGATCTTTTATTAATTGATATTTTAGAATGTTTTAATTTCTAGTCTGTAAATGCATATGGTACATACTGGTAACTGAAAACTAAACAGATAGCATAGCAAAAGCTATGGACTATTGACTCCATTTCAGAAAGATAATTTTGTGCTTTTCTCACACTATGAAAAATGTTCCGGGGCAGTCAGACAACACTCAACATATTTCTGGTACTTCCTGAATATTTAATAAAGGAATAGAACAAGGAAACTTACTCTTCAGAGCTTGGCAGTCAAAAAGTTTGGAGTTCTTGAGCAGGTTGCTCAGGTCCACAGAAATCTGAGGAAGCTTATCGAACGTATATATGCAGAGAAATGGAAAACAGATAGCCCTAGATAGCTAATTTCAGATTTTTTCCAGACAAGTTGAAGAGGAAACCATCAGCCCCATTTTCTGAGGTGCTTGCTCCCTTTGATTACCCACTTATTGGCTAGACCTGTGCTGGGTGATTTATAATTTGATCTAAATTTTAGTTCTTCATATTCAACATTAACAAGAGTCTTTTAATGATTGCATTCATTGCCTTTTAAAGACTTAGTAATATCGTGTGGCTCTGCTTTTACCCATAAAATAGTTTGTAACAATTGTAATATTTTGACATATGCAAGTAGCTTGGGAGCATAATAACTCTGCGTTTTCAGTTCATCTTGAAGGTATTTATTTATTTTGAATCCTGTTAACACGTTGGTAGATATATAACAGATAATAGTATTTTCAGTTTTGGAGATGTGTTGAGCACCTTTAGCAAGATGATGAGCAAAAAATAGTTTGGTTTCTGTAGTATGTTCATTGTTATTACTGTTCTCCACATTTTCACACCCAGCTTGATAGAAACACTTTTTTTCGCAAGGAAAATGTCCTGCATTGCTGTCATTTGTACTGTGAAGTTATTGTAGGACTTGGTTGTGGATATTCAAAGAAGGCCTGACACTGACCATTTACAGACACATTTTTGAGCAGAGATTTAGTTAACATTCATTTTTTAAATGCAAGGCTGGTGCAGGATGATTTCACATCTAAGCACAGTAAAATGAACCCTTTCTTCCCCCCCATTCCTGCCCCCAAATTCGGTTCATTATTGATTTTTTTTTGTTTTGATCATATTCACTATGTGACTGAACTCTGATCTAGATAATAGAAAGCATGATGCTGCTTAACAAAATTGTCTCTGTTATCTTCTTGAAATTTTTATTATCTTGGTAGCCACCCCTCAGAAATATGGGCTTCTAATTTAAACTCAGTTAGTTTAATAACTTCTGTCATTTTTATAGAAATAATAGAAGATCATTTTATCCAGTGTTATCAACTGCAGTTTTGTACAAGGAAAATAATAATAAAGGCACCTTCACTGAAGGTTTATTCAAAGTCAATCCAATTTCATTTTAACCTTTCTTTTTTCTATGTAGTAAAATCTTATGATTTGAGCTGTATAAATTACATTTTGTCCCTTTCATTGGCACTTCCAAAAAATCAAAACATTATACCCAGTCATCCAAAAGAAAATATTTTTAAACCACAAACTCAACCGAAGAAAAGGCATTTTAGATTAAATAAAACATTTCATATGACCCAAAACAAAGTGTTATATTTTGATTTGTCAACATTATTAACAACATGGAAGGAGATTTTTTTTTCAACAAAATACTGAATTTTTTTTCTTTGTAGAAGTCTAAACAAAATATTTCAACTTTTTCAGAATATTTTTACTTCTTTATTAGGCAAACAATTTGTCAAAACCATATTGAATTTGGGAAACACTTTGGTGTTGAGGAACCTGTTTTTGTTTAAAATGGTTTGGGCCAAAAAAATTAACCCAGCTCTGCTTGTGATTATCAGAAATAGTGTGCTCTAGTATCAGCTTTGTTCTATGAATTTATTGGCCTACCTTTGGCCAGTATACTAGAACTGAGTTTAGTATCAAATGCTGTTCCACATGTATGTGGTGTCCTAACTGAACCCTCATCATGGTGCTGTATCTGTCCCTCCCCAAGAACTTCAATCATTTGAGGTGATACCAGCTTTAAAAATATAAAATAGTTTCTGCAAAAATAGGAAATAAGCTCTCCATTTTGTTGTATAGTATCAGATCATGGTGTGCCCCAACAAAGCTCAGTGGAAGAATTAGCTCCGACTCTTCACCTCTGCCCATGAGGTCCTAGAATGGCTGCCTACAGTTTACAATTGGATCAGAACAACTGCAGCAGGGGCTGCAAGTCTAGAATAGGTCAGAGGCAAGCAGATAAGGGGCAAGGTCTAAGTTGAGAGTTGGGTAAGTTAGCTCTACCCTTTCAGTGCCCAATGATGCTGAGAGAACATGAGGCAGGAATCTTCCCTCAGTAAAGATCCTTTCTGCCTCTCTAGAATCAAGGAAGGAATTGTGACTCTGAATCTCCTTCCCTTCTTTGGGCTCTTTCTAGCACACATCCTTAAGCAAAGAATCTAATCCATGATGAATATATAGGGATCCTAAAAGCATTTAGAAACCAAGTTTACTTTTCAATTACTGTGAAATCAGCAAGTCTGGTAGACCTGCCAAGCGTCGGGAAAAATGGAGAGAGGGAGAGCTTCCCCAGCAGAATACAATGCCGGGAAAGGATTGTGCACTCATTGGTAAAACAGGATTTTTGCACACCCTGTAACCTTTATCGGTCAAAGCCTTCTACTCCTATTTTAGGGGATGCAATAATTAATGACCCATTTTACAGCTAAGCTTACTGAAAAATCAAACAAAAAATCAATCCCTTTAGGCAAAGGTGGGAATAGAGTTGTGCTCTTTAATGTGACAAGGCTAACTAAACTATTTTGCTTCAGTACCTCTTTCGAAGGCTAGACCAAGTTACATGTGTGAAAAAGCTGTCACCAGCATCAGAGTCAACAGTGTTCCAAGAGTCAGGTTTATAACCCAGGAACTCTGATGCCCTACATTCCCAAATGGTTTCACAAATTCCTAAGTATCCCATTGTCTTTAAGGCACATCATGTTTCTCTACCCACTAGTCTGCCTAACAAATACCTAGCTCTGTGATTTAAACAGGCTTGTTTTGATTCAGCTTGTATCAATTAGATATCACTTTGAACTAAACTGAATAAGCTACAGAAAAATAAGGCTGGACCTCAGGAAGTCATCTAGTCCAGCCCACTACTCAAAGCAGCACTTAAAAGCATCCAGTGATGGAAATAATCTGGTCCAGTACTTAAGCAAAACCATAGTTTCATAGTTTCTAGGGTCGGAAGGGACCCGAACAGATCATCTAGCCCGGCCCCCTGCCATGGCAGGAAGAGCACTGGGGTCAAATGACCCCAGTAAGGTGGTCATCCAACCTCCTCTTAAAAACCCCCAGGGTGGGAGCCTGCACCACCTCACTTGGAAGCTGGTTCCAGACTCTAGCCGCCCTGACCGTGAAGTAGCGCCTCCTGATGTCCAACTTAAACCTTCCCTCCGCCAGCTTGTGACCATTGTTCCTGGTCACTC